ATCTTTCTTCTATCATTGACAGTCCCTCTAGGTTGTGGGCTGCTTGCCTGTGTTCCTGAGAAGCATCTACGGTACCAGTCTATAGAGTGTGTTTTCTTTAGTGAATTACCGGTATGTTTACCGGTAATAAACTTGCACTGTTTTATGTATATGTTTGATTACATACAGCCTTGTGACAGTTTTCCTGCATATCATAAGCATTTGAATATAAATTAAAATGTTAAAATCAAATCTGATATTGTTTTACCTTTTATTTGGTGTGTGGAAGGTGTGCGGAAGAGGGGGTAGTCTTATACGGCGAGTATATAACAAACTCTGTATTTTGAGTGGAAATGTTAGGGGGTCGTCTTATACGCCCAGTCGTCTTATACGCCGGCAAATACGGTACTTAAAAATCCTAACTTCAGTTGGACAAATACCTGACACAGTATGAAGATGTAATTCTAGTCTTATTTAAATGGTTAAGAATGATTTTCAAAGTTACTCGTTTTGCTGTCTTATGAAAAGTTAGGCATCAATAAAATAATACTTGTCCATATGCCTTAAGCTTCCTACACAGATGACATTTTATCCGATACTTATAGTGAGTATTATAGTATTAAGCAAATGATGACAAAATAAAAGTTAACTCTATATTAAATATAATTCCTTTTTTTAACAAAGAAACATGATATTCATGTTATTTAATTTCCTGTCTAACTCTATAACCAAATAAGTTTAAGCACACTTTCCAAATATGTGTTTTCAAAGTATCTTGAAAATTATCTATAATAAAAATATGTTCTACATCATGAGCCCATACACAATTAAATACTAAAATTATTTTACATACATTCTTTCTATTTGCAGTGCAATATGATACTTTATATTCTAGTCTATCCTGTTTCATTTTCTTTTTTAAATGCTGATTGCACGATTTCATGATCAAATGTTGGGTCCTGCTGTTTGAAAAACATTCTTCCAGACTACTGTAAAGATCAGCTAGCATTCTAAGTGTATACAGCCACTTCCTATTCATTTTTTCAGAATAGAGTTTTATATTTTTCTCCAATTCAAAATACACACCTCAGCAGATCTTTTTGCTGGGCTCCAGGTGACTGTCTGGGTAATTTAGGTGATGATTCTTCCAACAAGCAATCATTTATTCCAACATTGTTAGTGTTGGGTAATGTATGTTTTTTGGCTTTTTGGAAACCCCCTGCAGATTTAAAATCCAGTGTGAGCATAACAGAATATAGGTAGAAACTTTTAAATAATATGCATTTAAATAAGAACATCTTTATTCAAAATTACAAAACGTTACCTGAGTTGTAGGTAATACCTCTACAGTCCAAACACTCCCAATTTTGTTCCCACGATCGTAGTGAGGAACAGGCTAAATGTGTTCCACTAGAACCACAAGATTGACAACGCTTTATTTCCCATTTGCTGAAGAGATAAAGAGAAGCAAATATTGACATTTTGATATTAACTTAGTCAAATTCCCACACTGCCACAGGCCTCACTGTCCACCTCACACACAAAACCAACCCAAAGGAAGAAAAATAGATTATCTGCATTGTTACTGCATTACTTTTTCTTAAAGAATATTTTTCTATTTCATTATTTATGTTTAAAATTTCCTTCTTTAAATATTCTCTAAGTATCAATATGTATATGAACATGCACATACACAAAGAATATAAACATCAGAAAGACTGATTAAAGAAGGGAAAAAAATTTTTTTTTATATTTGGCAATTACTATGTCAGTGTATCTGATATGGAAGAGGCATTCAGTAAATATATTACCTTACATAACATATTATCTTTCTTATCCAAGATGAGGAATTACTTCCTACAAAATGCTTGCTCAGACAATTCAGGTATTGTGCAGCTCCTCAGAACCCAGGCTCACTACCAAGCCCATATTTGTTCTCTCATCAGTTTTCTCTCAGCCAGGCTGATGGCTGCCAGCACAGCGGTGGTGGCGGGAGCCTCTCCCATCTCCTCAGCAGCACTAAGGATGTCTGACTGCAGCTTAGGCCTGCTCCCCGCTGGCAAGTGGACATCCCCTCAGAGCTCCCTGGTTTCCAGAGGGATGTCTGACTGCCAGCTTAG